CATAAGCTCAAGCCTTCTCAGGCCCTTTCTATTAGTTCAAGTCCTGCCTGCTAGCTCTTCTCACCTGAATCTAGGTCTCGGGTGGACTCGGGGTTCCAGCACACACATTCCTCCACACTCCAGCCTCCTCATCTTTTGGCTTTCTGGTCTGCATCTCTCATCAGAGCTATTGCTTTATTTGCAAAGTTTGCTCTCCTCCACCAATCTCTTCAGATACATTAAACACTGTTTTCACTGCTAAAAAAATGTCTGATGCATCCTTTCTTTGTGGCAATTATAACACATTTTCTTAAACTTTTCATTTTCAACCTAATTAATCCTTGGCTTCCTCAAGGGGCCACAGATTTCTATCCATTTCATTGTTGGCATTTAGCATGCACCTGATGTTTGGAAAGCTTCCAGTGACTCTGATGGGTGGAATGAAGCACAATTCCCAGAGGAGGGATCCTTCATTTACTGACCTTGGACAAAAAATAAGGATGAAATTTTCAAATTCAGTGTGAAGTTAATTAACCTTCTAGGTTTTTTACCAATTCACTTATTTGAATACTAGTTGTTATTATACGTAGTAACATATTTTATATAAGTTTCCAACATCAATTCATTGAAGATATTTATGATGAAATATAGCCATTGTTTACAGCTAATCTGTGGTTGAAAGAATATCTCCAGTTTAGAAAAGTCAAATAGTATAGACTGATTGCTAATGCCATTTTTGAAGGCAGTGGAGCCCTTGCTAGAGGTTAGAGTGGTTTTTCATGAAAAAGCTAAAGGTTGTTGTATTAATCTAGAAGAGCCTGTACGTCCTAGAAAGTGGGGTATGATGGAGGAGATACCAAGAATAAGGAGGAAGGAAAGTACAAGGAAAAGCCAGTGTCAAGAGAACAGTAAGGGAGTGGCCCAGCCAAGGCAATCTACAGATCCACCTGAGGATCAGAACTTTAGCCTCTACCTAGCAAAGCCAGTTCAAGCTGTCTACAAGTGAGAAAGAAAGTATTTTGCGAGGACTAATTTGGTAGCCAGTCGCAGCAAGTCTAGTTCGGAAGACACTACAGAACACTCAATGGACAAGCAATAAATTACCAGCTACAGAGTAAATCACATGGTTGATATGTACGTAAAAAAAGAGGAAATCCATTATAAAAAATGTAGACATGATATAAAATAGTCACTTTACTTTCTGATTGTTAAAATGCTCTCAGATCCTATGAATGGGTGAGCGTAAAGCAACAGAACCATTTCAAAAATAGAAAAGAACTTGGGAGGAATAATGTGGCTTTGTAAGGGTTTGCTTTAAAGACAATTCAAAGGAAGAACAGATTCAAGATTTCATTCTTTTCTTACTCCTATTACGGCTGGCATTGTTAGGCAGATAGCATTGGGAAAACGTCTATATACACCTCAGACATAGCATGCCATTAACTTTAATATTAGTATTATATTAATATATATTATAATTTAATATTTATATCCCTCAGTCTTGGATAGCTTGGAGTAGAATGGGAGGGAATCAGACCTGGGTGGAATGGTGAAGGGGAAGGCCACCAATCCCTGATAACAGTTTTTGTAGAGTAAATAAGAATGACATGAAGGGTTCTGGAGAGGATCTGAAGCCAGGCAAGAGACTCCAGAGATGTTCTTGCCATCACTTTAGAAAGTGCACTCTTCCTACACCTCAATTTTATCAATAAGAGCAATTGTCTGGCATGGAGAGAAAAATCTCTCAGTAGTCAGAAGTATACCCCCTAGTGCATGGTGAGCCCTTCCCTCGTGTTGAACCAAGAACCTGAAAGCTGCTTGGTGAACAAGGACTTCCAACAAAGGAGAACATATAAACAGGAGACGTGGCATCTGTCACTCTCTTGGACTCACCTGGCATCTGATCTTACATTTGAATTCTTCTTTAAACTGTTCAAGTCTACCACAGAGCATTCTTCCCCAGTAAGAGAGGAAATCTTCAGACCATGTTCCTTATTTTCTGAATTTCTTTTGTTACTGAAGCTGTGTGGTTGCCAAATGTCACCACAGCCTTTGGAACTCCAGGAGAGCTAGAGTGATTGTGGTTGGGAGCCTTATCCACAGAGATGCCGCTTCACTGTTCACCATGTCCACAGTAAAACCTGAGCACCCAAAATGCTGAGCAGACCTACTGAGGCTCCAAAGTGACTCTGCACAATCAGATCTGGGAGGCAGGCAAAGCTCTGTTCCCCAAACTCACCATAGCACAAATGACTCGTCCTGCAACTGTCTGGTTTTCTTTGCTGCCAATTTGGTTGAGCACAAATTTTCAATGCCTTGCAAAGATCAGTTGATTATTTCTCTAAGTTAACATATCTTTTGATGAACAGTATGATTTTTAATAATACTATAACTGTTTTGAAGTCATCATTAAGTCATCACCATATTTATTAATTTAATAATTATCTCTTGACTAAACCACAGGTCTCTGTGGTAATATTCTAATGTGTTGGAGTGGGATGGGATGAAAAGAGAAACAATAGAAGTAAGTCAAATCATTTCACAGGGTTATTAGTGCTGTGAAGTAAAACAATAGAGTTCAGAGAGGATCACCAGAAGTAAGGCTTAGAAGAGGTGACTAGGAAAACTGTCATTACAGAGGGACTAAGAATTAAATGGTAAAGAACCAGCTATGTCATCTGCCAGAAGCCTAAGAATGCAGTCAAAGTCACCAAAGTATTAGACAATGGCAAGCAACAATGAAGTAGATAGTTAGCTAATGGTTGTCTGAGAAATAATGAGATGGCTCAAGCCTGGTTCATGCGTGTGAATTGAAGAAGTCTTCTATTGAAGATGGAGTGGTTAAGGAGCTGAGTTCACTGCATGTCAGTCACTATGTATAGTGCTAAGAACAGAGGTAAAGGTACAATATCCAAATTAGGAACCAGAGTCTTCAAGACACAAAACAGAGACCAGTGGCAAGAAAAAGGTGAAGAGATTCTGCAAAGCACATTTCATAGGAGCAGGGGACTCTGGGAGCTATCCTGGAAACAGTGGACAACAGGGGAATATATCCTTAAGTCTTAGACCAAAAGACACTTAGATCCAGACAATGGAGTTTTATTTACTTGAGACAACATGAAGTGAGCAGAATATGGAATTCTAGTCAGAAAAAAATCTTAAAAAAATAAACATTCTAGAATTTCCTGAAGCAGGAAGGGGAATTTGATAACCACAGAGAAGGTCTAGAGGGCACAGCAGACACTGATTTTGAGGGTTTGGGGTACTTATGAGGCAAAATTGTAATGGATTGGGTTGCATACAGAGACATACAATCTCAGCGTAGATAGTAATGAACAACTAATGAAACTTGAAATTCATTTACCATGGAAATAAAATAATGTTACTACTTTTATTGAAATAACAATAGTTATAACTTTAATTATAGATAATAATAATTTATTTATAGTGATAATAGAGGCATTAGTAACCATGGGAGCTTCTTATGGTCCTATGTGAAGTATTTCTCATGCACATCTGCCAATAACTGTGATCTTTCAAACCTACAGAAAAGTCATATATAATTGATGACAACTTTATGGACCATAAATCATTGATCAGAACAAAGAAGGATTTGGGGCTTTGAAGAATCCTGGCCCTCTGGATAAGATAGCAGATAAATAGCTTTAGAGTTGATACCTCAACTAGATAGCTTAACAATTCAGATGATCTGAAGCAGTTCTTTTATGAGGCTACACAAGCTGTTTTATGGTGACTGGAAATTACTCACAAACTCTTCTTGGCAGACTTAAATTTTAGTTGGTGAATGCTCACTATACCCAAAGGTGACCCCAGTACTTATTTCTCTGCTCTACTAGTAGAAAATCCTAATTATCTTTGAAGACCAAATCCATTTATCCACAAAATTTAAGGGCAACTACTATTAGCTATAGACTATCCTAGACACAAGGAACACGAATGATACATATAAGAAATTCTGCCCATTTTCTCCACCTGTACTCTGGTGCTGCCATACTTTACTCTTTCTGTACATTATTTATTTGTTAAATTTCCCAAAAACATGCAAAAGACACTAAACATTTATCACCTATCTTTTCTAAGTCGAAGTGAGTCAAGCCCATTCTCTTTTCAGAACCCTCCAATAGCTTCTTAGCTTTCTCAGAGTAAAACCCAATGTCCTTAGGAGTTTTGTTATTATTAGAGATATCATGTATAAATCCCAACTTCTACAGCTTCTCTTTACCAGCCAAGTCAAGAATTGTAGAAAGGAAAGAACAAAATGATAGCTTCTTAGAAAATGGACTAGCAAAAGAAGAGGAAAAACGACCTCAGTCTTCTTTTGATACAATATTACACAATAAGACATCAAAGATATTCTGGATTCTTAACTCTTTCTTCAAGTAGGGAAGATGGATAATTCCATACATGAAAGAAATTATACGATATTGTAACTATAATTCTTGCATTATCATGATAAATAAATTGAAAATAAAATATTTTTTCAAGTGAACAAATACATCACTCTTGGTAAATGCTGATGAAACTGTAATGATTGTTAAGCTTTGATAATTAATCTTACTACAATTTTTCAGTTACATTTTATGAATTTGAACTCTCCTATATATTAAAAGTGTCTTCCCCTAAAACAACAAAAACTGCTGTCTAAATATAGCTCTGGATTACATGTCCATTCAGTACTTCTACTCAGAAATAACAGATTCACTGATGCCTCAGGAATCACTAGGACACAAAATGATTGAGATCTCTTTCATTGCATTACTGGTAAAATTAAGGCAGAACCTTCGATTCTCTATCTTATAGATACTATATTTGTTTTCTATCTTAGATTTCTGTGAAAAATCTTACTACAAAAATGTATATTCATCATGTCTTGTGGAGTTGTTTCTGCTAGCTTATACTCAATGTGCTCTCCTCTGTAATATGTGAAAACAAAGATGCTAAGCTCCTTATCCACACATTTGTGAATGTGCATCCAACATGTCTTCTTCCTATTTTAACAGTACTCTGAGGTTCACATGCCTGAAGATCTAAAGAAGAAAAGGGGAAATCTACTCAACCTGGAGAGACCCACTAGGGTTTTAAGGAAAAGCAGCCATTCACAAAGGGAGGACCGAGCTCACAGATCATCAACTGAAACACATCAAGTTGCTAAGATTCGACATTTTCAGAAACCCATCCAGATGGACTGGCCACTGGTCACTCGGCCCTTAAACAAAAGTTCAGTCCAAGGCAACAAATGGAAGAAAGCAGATGAAACCCAAGAGAAACGTAGATCCTTCCTTTATAAGTTTTGCAAGAAATATGGTGGAGTAAATGATCCCAAATCCAACCTTTTTCATATAGTATCCAGGATATATGTAGAAGACAAACACAAAGTCCTATACTGTGAAGTACCAAAGGCTGGCTGCTCTAATTGGAAAAGAATTCTGATGGTCCTAAATGGATTGGCTTCCTCTGCGTACAATATCTCCCATGATACTGTGCACTATGGCAAGCATTTGAAAACACTAGACAGCTTTGACTTAAAAGGCGTACACATGCGCTTGAATACCTATACCAAAGCTGTGTTTGTTAGAGATCCCATGGAAAGATTAGTGTCTGCATTTAGGGATAAATTTGAGCATCCCAATAGTTACTACCATCCAGTGTTTGGAAAGGCAATTATCAAGAAATACCGACCAAATGCCTCTGCAGAAGCATTAAATAATGGATCCGGTGTCAAATTCAAAGAATTTGCCTACTATTTGCTGGATGCTCACCGTCCAGTAGGGATGGATATTCACTGGGAAAGGGTCAGCAAACTCTGTTATCCATGTTTGATCAACTATGATTTTGTAGGGAAGTTTGAGACATTAGAAGAAGATGCCAATTACTTTCTACAGTTGATTGGTGCTCCAAAAGAGTTGAAATTTCCAAACTTTAAGGATAGGCACTCCTCTGATGAAAGAACCAATGCCCACGTGGTAAGGCAGTATTTAAAAGACCTGAGCACAGCCGAAAGACAGCTCATCTACGACTTTTATCACTTGGACTATTTGATGTTTAATTACACAACTCCACGTTTGTAATTTGCATTCATTTTCTACAGCCCCGCATAGACTTAATGATGATGGTCTCAAATCAGCTACTGTAATTGTCCTACCATTCTCTGTATGGAGGAAATTTAGCTAAGTGAAGTTGCCATGATTCAATGAAGATTTTTTTTTTTTACCAAAGAGTATGACAGCAATTGGCACAAAGTTATTGGAAAAAGCATCTCAAGGAGACATGTAAACAACTTGATGTGCTTTTAAATGTTGGGAAAAGAACTGTTTTGGCATTGTAGCTTATACTGTGGAAGCAATAACCTAGCCAGCTGTTACATTAACCAAGAAAGCCTCTTGCATGTAAAATAAAAGAGTCAAAATGGCGAGAATTGTGTATCCAAATCCTGGCAAGCATCATCTGACATGCATGAAGCCAGCAGTGCTTAGCAGTCTGTGACATTTGCAGCAAATGATTGAATGATTTTCTTATATCCTGAATCTTCCTGTCCTGTCATGATAAATCCATTTTTAAACATTTGGGCATAGGCATTTTACTATTGATCTGGAGGCATTCTGTGATTTACAATATGAGAACAAAGCAGACAAACAAATGAAGCCATGGCTTTTTTAAAATTTAACAGCCTGTAAAAATGCACAATAAACTAAGATCAAAACAACAAAAGCCACCTTTCTCTTCCAGGAAAAACTTCAGGGGGATTGATTTTTCTTGATTTTGAGCCCTCTGTGAAGACACAAAATGAGCCCAACCAAGTAGGTCCTCGTTTCTAAACATCATCAGATAGAAATGTGCTCTTAATTCTGCTTTAATTAGGAAAGGGGCAATTGTTTCAGGATGGAATAATCATCAAAACCAAAAGTTGCTGTTCTGAATATAGACCTCTAGCAATAACAGAGTTTTATAAGAATATTATTTGAATCAAAGCACCATGTGCATAGCTTTCTATTGGAATACACGCTAAGAATAGCTTTTGTTTGCAGTCTAATTATTCAGCTTGGGAATGACTTTTTAAGAACTAATATACCACTTCAAAGACAGGTTATGTTCTAGAGAATCAACATAACAAGAGCCCCTAGAAATGTTTTTAATAGGCTTATGAATAAGCAAATTAAGGTATTTTCTTCTTAAGTTTAAATACTCTATACTAACAAAGTCAAATACCATTGCATTCAAATATTAAATCAAAGTCTTTGGAAAACAGGACCATGTGTCACCCTTATGAAAAGTTGCAACATACTTTGGAAATTTTTTCTGAGGGATCTTAAATTTAAAGACACGTTCAGATGGGAAGTGCCTTTTAACTAGTTAACTATTGCCCTGACTTAAGCAAACCACAGGTCAATCAAATCCTGTTGAAATGTCTTTCCTAAACATGTTTCTCTTCCTAAGGTATCATATTTGATCAGTAAATATTCAGCTATGTCTTGCAAAGAAAACTATGTCTTAATATTTGAATATTAACAGACCAAGGTTCTTATAGTCATACATGTCTCGTTTTGATTTTCCATTTCATGGCTGAGTATTCATGAACTGCTTCACTCTGTGCACACACCCGCCTTATCTCCTCCATATCTCACAGGAGCAGGAAAACTGCAGTGAGCCAAGTCATCAAAAGTATTAAACTTTCCACCCCACCCTTTGACTACTTTTCCATCCCATTTCCTTATGCCTCTAGACCACACTTGTAAGCTGAGTGATCTAAATTATATAAATTAAAATGCTGCTGTACTAAACAGAGTGAATTCCTCATAACTTAGAGACCTTGAAATTAACTTTTTCTGGAGAGAGAAAAGATAAACATTACAGAGATGTGAAAGTTTATTCTTGTACCACACAGAGCTCAATTTATTCAGAACCTGCTAAAAAGGCTGTTTCTCAAAGGCATTTCTAAATGGAAATAAGAAACAATGGTAACAGCAAAATATATATTTTTAAATGCCCCTCACTTTCATAGCTCTGGAAAGGAAAAAATGAAAACATTCTGCCTCTCGTATTACCATTTCTCATACCCTGGGGAAGGAGACATTTATGTACCCTATTTTAATATGCACTGATCTTTGGCAGAGGAGAATGAGAGAGAAGGGCAAAGCACAGTGTTCACTCCAATAGTCATCCTGGAACTTTGCTGTGAGATGGCCTCACCTTACCTGTGGCTTTGCCTTTTACAGTCCTAGCTACCTCCCATCTTCAACCACAGTATGAAAATATTAAATGAAAACTTTCAAAAATAAACAATTCATAAGTTTTTAAATTGTGCAACATTCTAAAGTGAAATTTCTCACTTCCTTCTATTTCACTTGGACCTGAATCAGCCCTGTAACTGGTGTATCTGTGTAGTTGATGCTACCTGTCTGGTGGTAGCCATTGCAGTTCTCAAACTGACTTTCATGGGATCCCAGTGTTTGTGCTGAAGTACCTTTGTGTAATAGTCTAAGGCTTGTATCATCGCAGCATCCATCAGGCAAGCATTTCGTCACTTTACATTAGTTATTAGGAAAGGTGAGAGGAATACAACAAGAAGACTAAAGAAACACAGAGTGATAAAATATCACCATGAATTTTATACTATATTGTCATAAGAGTTACCCTTTACTATTTGTTATTAATCTCGTACTGTATATAATCTATAAATTAAACCTTTCATAGCTATTTATGTACAAATAGGAAAACAGTAACTCCTATGGGGTTAGGTATTCCCCATGCCTTCAGGCATCTACAGGGGAGCATGGAGCGCACATGCCATGGATAAGAAAGGACAGCTCCACTTCTTCTTTTTCTGACTCTTCCCACCTATATAACTACAGGTCACTCTTCATTCCTTTCTCAAGTAGACTCTATGGCTGACACCCTGCACAGCTGTGCATTCAATAGACCAGGTTTGACGTTGTCTCACTGAATAACAACCTGCTGTATAACTTTTCCTTTATATGGCTTTATGTCAGAGCCAAAGCAACTAGTCACCATCCTAGATCTATTGTTATATTTAAGTATATAATCATCATAATATAATAATTCATCCTTATATAATCATATATCTTCACATATATACATACACATATATACATATGTAATATAATAATTCATGCATCTGCCCTGAACCGTCCTCCTTTGTGGATCAGCTCAAGTTCACAGTCACCGTATCTGCTTATGGTCACAAATCCATGTGGGTGCACCACTGCACAAACAATTTCATGAATGGAAGGGCAAGGGAAATAGTCCAGACTTACACTGCATATGTCCAGCTTTCCCATTTTAACGTCAGTGTGCATGAGGAATGATTGCACATCCTCTGATGAACCCTTAAGTACATGTTTGCTCTAATACTGGGCAGTAATTTGGTGCATAAACTCTTTGTTCTGCTATTCCTGTATGGAATTCCTATTAAGATATCAAGTTGACAATGAATCTTAAGCCACAGTTATTTAACCTGGAAGTCATCAATGCATAGGCATAATTGATGTGATTGCCCAAAAATTGCCACAATCTTTAACAAGATGTGTCAGTACAAAACACGCAATTTTCTGATTTCTGCGTATGTGTTTGGAAATACCTATTTAGTCAATGGAAATGTGAAGTCATGTACTATCTTGTCTATTTCACAGTCTATAAAATATTCCCCACCAATTCAAGGACTATTTGGCGGCCCTTCGTAATTAGATGGAGGGGTGAAATCTTGCATTTTGTGAGAACTTATTTTTCAAAAGATTCTCTCTTTTAAAATACATAGTATTTAGCAAAGAGACATATATAAGTAGAAACACAAAATTTTAAATGTCAAAATAGCTTTGATACATTTCTGGAGATGTTAGTAAAATTAGGGACAAATAGACTGGGTTGTAGTAAACCTCTCCCTGCTGTGACCTCTCACTTGGTGACTTGGGACCAACTTCAGTCCTGGGCCTCCCTAGCATGTGGAGAAGCAGAAGCCTTGCCTACAGCCAGCATATGCAGTGTTTTCTACTATTTCAGAAAATAGGAATCAGTAGACTTTACCCACTAGAGACTGTAGACCAAAGTCAACTCAGTGTAATCCTACTTTCAGGGCAATTCTTCCTCAACTATAATTATTAACAATATCATTATCATACAGATTAATTTTCCATATATACTGTGCATCGGGCACTCTTTAAAAACTTCCCATACATTCAATCTGTGCAGTCTCTCCAGACAGTCTAGCTTCAATTGCTAGTATAAGCAGCTCCCTTTCTTCCCATATATAATAAAAGAAGTTGAAGCCCAGTGTGGTTAGGTGAGCTGCCAGAAGAGACACAGGCGATAACTCGGTAGAGAGCCAGCAAGCCTACTAAAAAACTTATTTTTAGACAGAAATTTTCACTTTTTCTTTTCTTGCTACAAGAATGGCTAAAAGTGAAAAATACATAGTATAATCTTAAAGAATTTTTCGAGACAGGATTTCACTATGTAATGATGTCCATCCTGACTCAATATGTAGACCAGGCTGGCCTCAAACTCACAGAGATCTGCCTGCCTCTGCCTCCCAAGTACTGGGAATAAAGGTATACATCACCACACCAAGAAGAAAATATTTTGGATATAAACATACACAGCTATATCTTTAGCTAATTAGTTAATGCATTTCGTGTCAGCTCAGCCCTACACTTGCTCAGAAAAATCATATTCTTGAAAAAGTTAGAGTCCATGGAAAAAAGTTTAGCCTAATAAAAACACTTTTATTTTTTTTCTTGAGAAATTCTAAATAAACACTCTCAAGGTCAAAGAGGACAGAGAGTAACAAACAGAAAGCTCAAAGCAACTTTCTCCAACACAGGCAGACAACTAATTGGCCTGTGTAATGGCAAGAATAATCTACAATAGTAGTATTTTTGGTGTTGCAGGAGTGAGTTTATTAAGTTAATAGCAGGCCAAAATAAGAGAGCAGGGTAGAATAGAGAGGAGAGAGGGGTACAAACATTCAATTGGGTGCCCAAAGCACCCAGAAGAAACCACCTGAGAAGCCCATTTAAGGCAGCCAGCTGGAGTCCCTGACCAAGAGAGTCCTGGTCAGAACAGATGTCCTGTCTGGTGAATGACAAAACAAATATAAAGACACAACGTCATCAAACTGGGTATTCACAGCATTGCCTAGATCCTGAGTGGAGAAGTAGAAACAGTTGGTTGGACTTTCCAGTTGAGCTTTCTCTTTGCAGCTGAGCTTCCCATGATTGATCTTTCAGCTTCTCCTTCCCACTGTGGGCATTTTTGTATCATAGATGGATAAGCAATAGTAACAGCTATTGGAATGGCAAACCTTCTGCCCTCTTATCAAGGAAATGCTGTTTTCTTTAGGACTGTTTTCTATTCTCTTCCTTGCCTGGCATAGATAAGAGTGGTCAAGGGGCAGTCC